TGGGGAATCCTGGGAGTTAAAAGTCCACACATCTTAAAGCTGCCAAGGTTGAGAAACACTGATCTACAGAGTCAAAAGACTTTGTACAATCAATAAGGCAAAAATAAGTGTCTTTTGGAATTTCCTTGCCTCTTTCATCACCCATCGGATATTTGCAGTGTGGTCTTCAATGCTTCTTCCAAATCTAGCTTCTCTATCTCGTTTCATAGCATTGTAGAATGCAGGGGTTAGGAGGGTCTTAGAGAACATCTAGTCTAACCCCTACTGAGTGTAGCCATCTGGTGCTGGTGGGTTTGTACAGCATCCTAAGCCACACACTTCTCCCCACAAACCAAGGTTAGGACCCGGCAGGCTTTGCATGTCGTGTTAATGCAGCTGGTAGATCTTTACCTGATCTGGTTAAATGGATGGATAAACCCTTCTCTGCATGGGGGGTGGGGGGTGGGGGCTGCTGCATCTTAATAAGTCTGCAGCAAGAGATTTGATTTCTCTCGGCCCCTCCTAAGGCTAACGGTGAGGTTGATGCTGATTTCTCAGGGAGCCCAAGAACTCTGAGCCCCTGCGGAGGCTGACAGTCTCCGTCATGTTTTAATAGCATCTCCAAAATGCGAGAGGCTTCTTCTGGCAGCGAGAGGCTTTTCATTTTCATTACAAGCCAGTTATTTTACCCTGTTAAGAAGCTGTCGCTCCAGCCGTCGACAGAGGGTGGGAGAGGGGGATATGACAACCGAGCAAACATCAGCTTAATAATATGTCACGCCTGGCATCGTGCAACAGCCGGGAGAGTGGAAGAAAGAGGAATGTGGGTTTTTCTAAAAGCAGGCACCTGGAGACCTTGGGGACTCTGCAGCTGCCATGTTGCCATCAAAGCCCAGCGTTTGATGGAAATCGTCTTGCAGAACAGAGCCGCTCTAGAACCCGGGTTTGGCCAGACGGGGTCTTGATTCTTGGTTTGGGATCCTCCATTCAGACGCCCAGCACCCAGAGAGGTCTTCTGCTTCAGCCGTTCTAATCCTTGAACCCGCGCATGCTTGGACCCCCCTAGCAGATCCGAAAGAGAGATCTCTGCATCTTTCGGATGGTCATTTTGTCTGCACTCGCCTTTCCCCTCTTCAGCCTCTCTTCATCAGAGGTGCCATTCGTTCCAAAAATGACGGAATGACTTTGGTGGCGGAGGGGCTTAGCTGCAAGACCAGATTCCCATTTAACCAGGTTGCACAAAGACGGCTTAGCCGCTGCTTGGGTGTAACACTCCACACTTGTTTCGGGTTAACCTTGTTTCGTGTTAACCTAATCTTTTTGTGGCTTAGGACAGTGTGTGAATCCAACCCCGGTGGTTAATTTATAATTCAGGGCATTACTGTATGCAAATGGTCTCATACCGGGCTTAAGTGTGCACGAAATACAAGTACAGTTGCTCAGAAAATGGGGTAATTCAAGAGCCAAGCTCAGTGGCATTCTAGTGTTTTTTCATGTTTCTGCACAAGCCACCCTGACCGCTTTTTATGGACAGAGCACCACGAGAATAGAAAGGGGAGACCCGCAAGAGGAGCCCTGCAGGTGGAGGGGCAGGTGATAAAGGGAAACCTGTTGGGGATGGAAAGGTCACAGCATTATGGACTGGAAGGGTAGAAAAGGATCTTAGGGAGCCTCTAGTGCAGGAATTCACTACCAGCCCATTCCAGACAGATGGCCCTCCAGTCTCCACTTAACAGTGAAGGAAAGTTCACCATCTCCTAAAGAAGTTGATTCTACTGTAGAACAGCTCTGACCCTAGGACATTTTTCTTGATGTCCAGCCAGAATCTACCTCCTGGTAAGCCAGACCGATTGTTTCTTGTCTTGCTTTTGGGATGGTGGAGCCGTAGCAAGCGTCTTCGGAGAAGAGGCTGCGTTCACACAAACCACTGCACCTGGTTTGTGCGAACACAGCACACAGGGGCTGCTAAATGTTAACATTAACCTTGGGATTTGGGGGAGTGTGGCTCAGTATGTCGTGCAAAGTAAGCCAGTTATGGCTCTATGTGTTGTACGGATTGGATAACTAGCTTAAACTTGTTGTGTAAACACAGCGAAAAGGTGTTTTTAAGACCAGAAAGATTGAATGGTTCAGGGGAACGTAGACTGCCGTCTTTTTTGTGCCACGGTTTTGCAAGTTTGTGTTTAATGGGCTGTAAGAGCTCCATTCAGCTTTTCTTGATTATATTCAATTTACATCTGAATGTATTAAAAAAGAATGTTAAGAACGAGGGATGATTCAACATCAAAAGCATAAGAACTTTTGTAGTCACGTTTGATTACAGCAGACATCGTGGTACATCTGATCAACTTTTTCAGTCTTTTCCATCACGGCTGCTGCCTCCTGTCAGGAGAAAACCTCGTTAAGCACGAGAGACATACACACCAAAACACTGACCACTTCAAAGACTCTGAAGGTTAAAATTTTATTAGAAGTTAGTTCAACAGGCAAAACCATAACATACTTGCATAACATCACATTGCAGTGAGGACCAGCACGGGCAAGCGGTCAAAATGGACCGCTTGCAACCGAGTGGCCCCGACCCCTGGTCAGCAACCCCTTTTTATTCCTTAAAACCACAAACCACAATCTCGACTCCGTCCTTGGTGCTAATTTTACACCACTTTCCTGCTCCTTTCTCTTATCACACTCCTTTCATCAGCACTTTACTTTGTCCATCTGTTTTCCGGCTTCCGGTCCATGACTGAAAACTTTAGTCCACATAACAATTTTATTTATTGCTCTGTAAGCTTGTTTTATTTGGTGTTAGCGTTTATTGCTTTATAGCTAGTTTTATTAGTATGTTTCAATTAACAAAGGCCTTAAGGATTAATAAATCATTTTTTCTCCTCACACTCCAAAACCACAACTGGGTTGAGTTTCGTTTATTTTTATAAGAAGCAGGCCCATTATGGGGAAACATTCAATCAGGGAGGCTAGATTCACACAATGTGCTTAGCTAGGTTTGCAATTTAACCCATTTTCCGGATTCAGATAAGACAATGACTGATAAAGCAACCTGGGGGGGGCTGAGTGCAAACAATAATCCAAGCCACAAAACCTAACCAAGGTTAACACCAACCATGGTTGCTATGTTGCACAAATGCAGCCTCAAAGCCTTTAGACTGGCTTGAGTGCAGCCACCGACTAAAACGATTTCATTACATCCAGATTTATCTAGAACAGAGCTGAATGTTCAAGCCCCACATAATATCCACAAAAAAGAAAAGGAAACAAGATTGAGAAGGCTCAGAAAAGAGAATGTGAGAAATGGATATCAACATTTTCCACAATATCGACAGCTAGAGAGTTTAGGATTGTTCTTTGGTTTAAAAACTTGAAATGATGAGAAAGGCAAGCTTATTATTTACTTATATTTCCACATCAAATCCAAGGGCATCCACAGGGGCGGTCAAAAAAGTCAAGATGGTACCCATGACAAAAGCAGGGGCTTGATCACATGGTCATGGCCACTATCTTCATTTTTTGGCCACCCCTGCAGAGACCCCTAATTGGAATTCCTATCCCGCTTTCATTTTTTCTGCAAACGGGGCTCACGGTTATTCCGTAATGCCGTTGGGTAGAAGACGCTTATGCTGAAATCTGGGGAAGAGAGCCTTGGCCAGCAAGCGGGCTTCAGATGGGCTACGGTTGATCTGATTGTCCTTCCGGCAGAGAATGGCGAGTGGGCGATCAAGCACCGGCCAGCCAAGAAGATTGTGAATGCTGCACACTTCACCCCGAGCGACATCGGGTACCAGCAAATCGTCTTCTTCCTGATCATCCAGAGGAAGCCCCTGTTCTACATCGTCAACATTATCATCCCCTGCGTGCTCATTTCCTTCGTGGCCTTGCTGGTGTACTTCCTGCCTGCGAAAGGTCAGCATCTGTTACAGCCCCTTCCCTTGCCCTGTTACAGGACGGACAAAACTCTTGTTTTCCTTCCTTCTTCCGGCAGCGGGCGGACAGAAGTGCACGGTCTCCATCAATGTCCTCTTAGCCCAGACCGTCTTCCTTTTTCTGATTGCAAAAAAGGTGCCGGAAACATCTCAGGCGGTGCCGCTCATCGGGAAGTAAGTGTGTTACGAGACGGATGGTGTTGCTGGTGGCAGCGGCTGCCGCTTTGGATGCCGGAGAGGGGGTGGGCGAGAGACTCCCGGAATAAAAGCGATGAACGACGCTTAATTAAATAATTCTGGCCCTTCCACGGGGGAGCTCCCTTCCTTATCAGCTGCGGTGGGTGCAGAGGGGCACGCCACGACGCACCACCCTCAAGGGGCTGCCTGTTGGCCAGAGTCCTTCGGCCTCTCTCCCTACCCCACTTCTGCTCTTTTCTGGGGCTGCTTAGATCGCTTTTGGGATGAGAAATGATGAGAAATCCATGATAGCCAAACCTGAGCTTGGAGCTGGTGGGGGCAGATCCACAGGGAAGATGGCTGTTAATCCTGTGACTCTGTTAGCGACGAGAGCTGAGCGCAGCGTCCCTGTTTCTGTTGAAAGGTACTTAACCTTCCTTCTGGTGGTGACCATTGTTATCATCATGAATGCCGTTATCGTCCTCAATGTTTCTCTGCGGACCCCCAATACCCATTCGATGTCGGAGCGAGTCCGACAGGTGAGTCGCAAGGATGCTCTGCTTTTTTTTTTTTGGTTTTTGGTTTTCCTTTTTGTTCCTTTGAGTCAGGCTTGGCTGCAGGTCTCTTGGAAGGGGTTTATTTATTTATATTTATTGGCATAATCTAGACTCCAAATGACAGCCTACACTTGACAAGCACGGAACGAAAAACTTTAGGAAACTGATCACAGACATCCAGAGGAGATAACCCTACAGAGCAATTTAAGAAAATAACCCGCGGGGGCTCAGCGGCCACCCAGTTCCAGAGCCTGGGAGAATGGCCAGGTTTTCCAAGACTTTAGGAAGATCATCAGGGTGGGGAGTATATGGATCTCTGGGGCGGGGGGATGCTATTCAGAGGGTGGGTGTCATGACAGAGAAGGTCTGTCTTTTTCCTGGGTCTGAGAAAGGGACTGTCCCAAAGTCAACCCACTGGCTTTGTGACCAGGGCAGGACTAGAACTCAGAGCCTCCAGGTTTCTAGTCTGGTGCCTTTAACCATTGCACCAAACTGGCTCCCCCAGTTGCCATACCCTCTCCTTACATTCCAGAGAAATTGGTACTTACTTCCTAGATATTCTGGGCAACTTTCCTTTAGGGTCTTGAACTAAAACAAAGTAGTTCAGTTTGGTTAAGGAATGTTAAGGATGCCCCAGATAAACTGGCCGGTGGACCCTCTTTGTCTCAGCAGGTAGCAGCCTCACATTGACCTTGACTAGGGTTGGAAGCAAGTAGGCTCCAATGTAGTCTTTGGATGGGAGGCAACAAGGAGATCCCCAGGCCGTAGGCAAGATGGGGAAATTGAAAAACATGGTGAAAAAAGGCACTGGCAAAGCACTCTTGCTAAGAAAACTGCATGGAAGGGTCAAGGGGTCAGCAGGAGCTGAGCAAAACGTGAAGGAGACCTGAACATTTTAACCCACGGTAGGGTCAAAACCGCAGCAGGTTCTTTTTGTCAACAGGGAGCAGGTTATAAAACTGATAAATGTTCTGGACCCCCCAGTTTGTTCATCCCTAGCAGGGAGCATGCTTGCAACAATAATTTTCACATCACGGTTTCTCAGACCGTGTTCTGTGGAACCCCAGGCGCCCATGAGAACCTGATGAGGTTCCACAAGAGACCAAGTGAGGGGGGGAGTTCATTTGCACACAGCCAATTTTCTATCACTAGAGCAGTGTTTCTCAACCTTGGCAACTTTAGGATGTCTGGATTTCAACTCCCAGAACTCCCCAGCCAGCATGCCCCCGGTGAACAAACGGTTGCATCCCCTGGAAAGTTTTCCTGGCGTTCCTTTCTGTTTCCACTTCCCAACATGTTTCAGCACCTGGCTCTGTAGGTGTTCCTGCACCTGGTGCCCCATTACCTCGGCATGCACATGAGACGCATCTCCGTACCTGCTGGGAATCAGATCGTGCGTCGACGGAGCTCCTTGGGGCTCATGGCGAAAGCTGAGGAGTACATGCTGTGGAAGGCACGGAGTGAGCTCCTGTTTGAGAGGCAGAAGGAACGAGACGGGTTGATGAAGATCCTCCTGGCAAAGATCGGTGAGCTTCTTGCGGGCTGAAGGGGACCCTGGCTGTGGTAATGGGCAATGACACTGTACGGTCACGATGTTGTTGAAACTCAGCTGTTGCTTTAGCATGTCCTGTGAACCAAGTCACTGGGTGTAATGGTCTGGGGGAACGACCTCAGGAGGCAGGGGGAAGAGCCACGGCCAGGGGAACAGTCAGATAAGAGGCAGCTGAGCCCACAAGAGGAATGGGTGGGTAGAAAGTGTCTCAGAACTTTCCCCTCCCTACTTCTTGGGCTGTAAAGGGGACGGGGGGAGAGGTGCACTTTCAGACTTGCAAGATTCTGTTCATGTAACCTTACAATAAAGACAGAGCTAGGACTTCTGGGTGTGCTTCTTTGTCTGGACTACCGTGCAAGGCTGACATCAATTTTGCAAGTCTGAAAGTACATCTCTCCCCCCCCCCCCCAACTTTACAGACCAGGAAACTAGGGAGGGTCCCTTCTGAGATGCTTTCCATGACCCCGTTCCTTCTGTGGGCTCAGCTGCCATTTCTCTGACCGTTATTTAGCCTGTGGCTCTTCCTCCTGTCTCCCAAGGTCATTCCCATCTCCCGTCACAATGGATCATCAGAGAGCTAATTTATTTGCGTGTGCTGTATTGTGTGAATGCAGACAATGGATGCATTCACACAGTGTGCTTGGTCAGATCAAGTCAAGATCCAGCGGCTGCACTGCAAGCCTGTTTAGTAGAACGGGTGCAGTGACCAGATGTCCTTTATCATAACGGAGAGCCCCTTATTTCAGAAAGGTATCCTTTAGATTTATTTAATTTAAGTCTTCATTTTCTTGGTCTTGCTCTTGAACTTTCCTTTGTAAAGCCAAGTTATAAACACAAACAATTCTTATGAGCCTCTTTCAGATTTGCCCCTTTTTCCGGTTTGTGCTTTATTTTTTCCAAGAAAAGATGGTCCTTGTAGGAATGGGCCATGGAGGTGACCTTGGTGGATGAATGGATGAACGGTCAAGGGAAGGAGAAAGTCCACTGAATGGTGGATCTGGTTCACTCAGTTTCCTAAGCCATTAAAAAATCTCTCCAAGCCGCATTGTGAAATGCAGCTGCTAGAGCCGCACCCGATCTGGTGAAGCGTGTTGTGTGAACGCAAGTGCTCTGCCTGCCAGAAGAACTCCAGACGTTCATTCAGAACTTGCCGTTCTTTGGAGTTTCCCATTCCCGTTCTTTGCTTGTGTTACACACGCTGCTCCCAGGTTCGGCTTATGGTCACTCACACACACACTCACGGCCCGTTGAGGCACGCGGATCTTGCAGCCCCCCTTGCTTCCTACCTGGGTTTTCCAGAGAGGTGTGGCTGGAGCAGACAGACACACAGCCCTGGTCAACAGCGGGGAAATAATTAGGGATACACACAAATCACTTCCAGCCGAACACTGAGGCACAAGAGGTTCTTTATCATACACGGAGACCCAGTGAATTTGAAGTAATGGCAAAACTTTACTGGTTGCAAGGTGCATTTGCTCTTTCTCATACACACACACACGCTCATCCACACTTACCCTCCTCCTTCCCAACTAGGCTCCCAGGCACTAGCTAGAGGGACGGAAGCCGCCAAGTCAGATGACTCAGAAGACTCAGAGTGGGTGGGCTTTGGGACCCCTTTTATCCCCAAAAGCCCTTCCTTTGTTGATTTACAAGTTGACGGGATTCAGGTGAGGCCTATCTCATGTGCTCAGGCTCACCTTCTTTTGTCTGGTTCAGGTCCTTTGTTTTTTCCTTAACAACTTGCTTCCTTCTTACCTACCTCCCCGAAGAGATCTCATAGACAAGATTCCTGGCTTTTGTCCTCCCTGCTTAGTGCTTGCTTCATCTTTAGGTTATGGCAGCTTCAGCCTAGTCTCACACCTGCATCTTTGACATTCCTCTCTTCTAATTCCCATTCCCAGGAAAAGGGTTGGAGAACAGATGTCCCCAGGACTTTTGCAACAGCCTGCGCCACACCGCTCCGGAAATCCAGACCTGTGTGAATGCCTGCAACCACATCACCCGGACTTTGCAAGAGAAGAATGACTTTGATAGTGTAAGTGCCGTTTAAGGATGGAGGTCTGTGCCAGACCAGATTCACGGGGGGCAGGTTCATTTCCCACCGGCCTCCAACTGTAAGTTGGGCTTTGCATGGGTTGAAAGAGCAAGCACAATCAACATCTGGGCAGATGTCCTGGCTTTTTTCCGGGGCAACCATGAGCGGCAGGCTTGCATAGGGATGGGGTAAGGGGAAAAACAATGACAAACTGGAGAAGGCCCATGGGTGAGTGTCTTTAAAATGGATTCCTCCTAAATCTGAAAGAAGACGAGGATGTGTTGGAAAGGGTTAGGGAGTCAAAACAGGAAAGAGTAAATGGCAGAAATAAAAAAGCATTCTGTGAAACTTAAGAGAGGAAAGATGGTTAGGTTAGGGCAGTGTTTCTCAACCTTGGCAACTTTAAGATGTGTGGACTTCAACTCCCAGAATTCCCCAGCTAGCCATGGGGATGTCTAGATGACAGTGATGCTGCATGCAGCCCAGATGTGCTAGCCAGGGATCTCTGGGGGGGTCAAAAAAGTCAAGATGGCAGCCACAACAGCATAGTCATGGCTGCCAACTTGACTTTTTTGACTTCCCCTTGCACATACCCCTGCACACAAATAATAGTAGTAATAATATCTCGCTAATGACTCGGACATAGCTGAATTTAGCTAATCTTGAAAAAGACTGGCCTGGATGGCTGTTCTCCAGTACTTAAGAAATCCCAAAGCTGTGGGCTTCACTGTGAAAACCATACCAAACCAGAAACGTCCCAGCCTTTGAAAATTACTGTGGATAATTTCCACTGAGGTTTGTCCCCAGCGTATTCCCGGTCAGTCCCTAGATCCAGATCATAGGCCCATGCCACTCAGTTCAGCTAGCACAAATATAGCTTGCCTATACATTCATAAACGGCAGCAATTTTCATTATCTATATATCTCTCTATGCCAAAAGGGACAGAACTTTCCAGAGCCTGCAGAAACTATCCTGTGAGTAATTAGCATGGAGAATCCTAAAGGGAGTAGCCTTTGGTTATTCCAGCTTTAAGCCTTCTATGTACAGAATGGCAGCAGTATAGAGACAGAAAGTAGGACACCAGGTGATCCTCCTCTATTCTGCACCACACACCCACAAGAAACAATTTGGTGGACAGGGAAGATGTATCCAACATCCAGAAGAAAGGAATGGCAACTCACTACCATATTGGTGCCAACAAAACGCCATGACTCTATTAGCCATGGACCAGATCAGGTAAACACCTATCCAGTGAATTTGTACCAGTTGCTAGGCTAGGTTGGTGGTAATCTTGGTTGGTCAAGCTTTCCTTGTGGTTTAGCTTCTTGTACAAGCTGAGAAAATGGGTTAATTCAGCAATCAAATTCTGCATGTACAGGTAGTCCTCGATTTACGACCACAATTGGGACCAGAACTTCCATCACTAAGTGATGCAGTCGTTAAGTGAATCATGCCCAATTTTATGACCTTTTTTGCTGCGGTCATTAAGCCAATCCAGCTTCCCCCATTGATTTTGCTTGTTGGAAGCTCCCAGGAAGGTTGCAAATGATGATCACGTGACCCCGGGACACTGCAACTGTTGTAAATACATGCTGGTTGCCAAGCGCCTGAATTTTGACCGCATGACCGCGGGGATGCTGCGATAATCGTAAGTGCGAGAACCGGTTGTAGGTCACTTTTTTCAGCACTGTTGTAACTTCAAACAGTTGTTAAACGAATGGTCATAAGTCAAGGATTACCTGTAGTGAGAATACGTTCCCTGTTTAATAGTTCTGCATGCCTGTCAGTTGATTTCAGTGATGCTCACAAATTTAGAAGTTTTGCATTTCTGCTTAAGAAGATTGATTCTTATGTATCGAGATTCGCTGCCTATTCCTCCACGTGATGGTAAGATGCAGGTTAAAAAGCCTTTTTTAAAAAGGAAGCTGGAAATCTAGCAATTCAGATTCATTCCCTTGGAAAGAAAGTAGGCATTTATCAGCATTTCTCTTATAAATGGATCACAGAAGTAATCAGACTCACTTTCATCTATTCTTGCTGGCAAGCTGGAATTGATCATCAGATTGTATCTTGATGTATTTCCAGCTTTTCTCTCCTTATTTTCCTCAGCAGTTTTTTCCATTTGGATTTCATAAATAAGTTAGGTTTAAAGTGCTGGAAAACAAATTGTTCAGCGGGGAGCTCTGTTATTTTATTTTATTGTATTTTTTTGCATTTCGTTTCCAAATTGTTCCAAATTGCTGGCCATTGCGCAGCCTTTCAAAGAATATTTTTCTGTAAAAAGAAAGCTTTTTCCCCCCTCTTCCTCCTTACAAAGGTTTCCAACTCAGTGGGAACTTTGGCTAGCTGCCTCCTTCTCCAACACGGCATCCGTGGAGCATGTGTGCGTGTGTCAAAGTCTGCAAGATGATGGGCGCACTGTCACAATCGAAGCCCCGCCTCTATGGCACACATGGGGGTACAGAGGGGGGCCATTCTGCTGACTGATATTGCTTTCTTTAGAATGAAGTCAAAGTGAGGGACTTTTGCCCCTCCAGATGCTCTGGTACCCTAGGAGGTGGGACACTTTGCAGCCCTTTGGGTTGGAACTCACCTATTGGTCAGCTAAGGGAGATCTGATTGGCTAGGGTGGTTCTCTACCTGTTGGTTGCATTTCAAGGCCAAAAGGAAGTAAACAGGATTTTTGTTGGCTTCCGAGTGATTAGTGACGTGGAGGAGGGGAACCGATTTGGAAATTGCTGCCTGGAAGGGCTAGTCTATTTGAACGGAAATGCATCTCTAAATTTTGCAGAGATTGGAACATGTACAGGACAGGTCAAAAAAGTCAAGATGGCAGCTACACACATTAAAAGGGGGCAGGGCTTCAACCCCACCGTTGCAGCTGTCATCTTGACTTTTTTGACCTGCCTTGCAGAGGCCTTTGGTAATGTGTTCTCTGTGCAAAACAAGGCACATAAATGGCCAAGAACAGAGTTTCACAATTTTTTTTCTCTCAGGACCCCTTCCCACTTTTAAAAATTACGGAGGATCCCCAAAGAGCTTTTGTTTGTATGGGGTACATTTATTGAAATTGACAGCATTAAAAATTAAAATGGACACATTCGCTGCTGCTGCTGCTTCTCACGATTCTTGGATGGGATTTTAATACTGTATTCTTTTTCAACCTAGGCTGGCAAGTAATTTTGATTTCGAGGGCCCCTGAGAGGTCTTGGGGGACCCCTGGGGTCCTAGGACCGCACTCTAAGAAACACAAAATGCTGTGCATTTAAGAAAACTAGCAGATAAAAAGGCACACACCAGGGTAAAAAAATCCTTGCAAAAAATTATACACCTTAGCAGAAAATGTAAGGAAAAGTTATATGAAATTTTGTATGTGTAAATCTTCGCGTGGCGTTTTTAAAAATGTTGCCCAGAATGGTGCTGAATCAGGGCAGGATGAGGTTGAGGTGGGAAGGAAAATATGCTGAGCATCTACAGATTCATCTGAGTCTAAGATGGAGAGAGCCGAGATACTGATCACGCTTCCTTCTTCCCATACTTATGGTATCTCCTCAAAAATCCCCCAAACACGCCTTCTATTTTTGTGTGTGAGGAATAGGATGAGAAAAAAGCTGGGGCAGCCATTGCGGGTGCGTGTCCAAAAGAGGAGGGAGCTGCAGCCATGATGGAAACCCTGCTTCTTTTTTACTTGTCATACATTTGATGTTTCCATCTTGACTTTTTTGACTCCCCTGTGGATGCCCCTGCTGGAAAGGCAGAATTTGAGTTGAACCTTGCTCCTGGGAAGGCTGCTTGAAAGGGCCAGGAAGCCTCAGGTGGCCCACAACCATGGTTACCCATTATGCATTACAGCATGCAACCGTGGTGATCAGGATGTCTCCAGGGCCCACCATTCTTCTCCCCCAACATCTGGAGAACTTCCGCCTTGCGGCACCCTTGACTTTTCCTCCCTTACAGGAAAACGAAGAATGGATCCTGGTGGGGAGAGTCATTGACCGGGTCTGCTTCCTGATCATGGCCTCTGTTTTTATTTTTGGCACCGTTGGCATCTTCCTGATGGCCCACTTCAATCAAGCCCCAGCAGCACCCTTTGTGGGAGATCCAAGGCGGTACCTGCCCTAGAGGTGGGCGAGGACCGGGAGCCAGCCCTTGACTCGTCTCGTTGCTTGGAGGAGGGTTATCCTGAGAGCAAGGCTATAGCACAAGGTTTTGGGGTTTAACCTGGGAACTGCGGGCTTTGAAATAACCCTTTAGACCCTCCCTGCCCTCTGCAGAAGGCTAAGACTTCTGGCCAACGCAGTTTCTCCAGGAAGAGCTAAAACAGACATTTCCACCCTGGCAAGAGCTTGGGAAGAGCCTCACCTCTGATTTCTCTGGGGACTGTGGAAGACTCCGTTCCCCTTCAGCAGCCGCAGCAGGTGCTTTCAATAGGCCATAACTGTCCTATCTCACAGGGCTGGGCTTTGGACTGGATCTCCAAAAGTGCTTTGCAGAGTGGGGGAGCAGGAATGTAGCACCGGTTTGTCAGTGCCGGAAACCACTTTTCTCCACGATTGCACAGCAGTGGTGCAATGCTTGAGTTCTCATATGCCCTGAAGCACCATCTAGAGCAATGTTTCTCAACCTTGGGAGCTTGAAGATGGGTGGACTTCAATTCCCAGAATTCCCCAGCCAGCATGGCTGGCTGGGGAATT